TTTAGGATATGTTATGATATGATATATTAAATAAAATAAAAATTGATTACTTTGTCGGAATGTATACCGGTTTCGGTAGCAAGGACGTGACACGTGTGACAAGTAGATCGATTGTTCTGTCTATAACTGTTATGTTATAACATTAAAAATGTTGCAATAAATTTTTTGGCGTGACAGTATTCTTGCAGTGTGGAAATACCACATCCAGCAGTTCCTGTCAGATCAACATTTCTAATAAAACGTATGGAATTTTTAATTGGTTTATATGAACGAAACTGGAGGTATACATATATCTGGTTAAATGTAACTTCTTCTCAGCTTTTAATGTTCAGTAATTTAAATGTTATCCCATTATTTTATTTGAATTATTATAAATCGGCAATATATATTCAGGTCACGCCATAAAGATGTTTCATTTGTAAATTATTTATTAAATTTCATTCAGTGGAGCACTCCTCATATTTTTACATAACTGATCTAAATAGTTTGGGATATTAAGTGTTATAAGACACATTTTTTCTTCATAACATAAATAAGCAACAAAGTAGTTATAAAGAAAACGTTTATTGAAAAAGTTAAAAGTTTGGTAATAAAAAATAAATCAGTCTTTTGAGCTTAGTTCGTATTTTACCAAAAATTGAAGAGCTGATTTTTTTGGGTCTAATTCCATTCCACTCTGGCTTCAAATAAAAGTTCAATGCCAACTGCAACAACTTCTAAACAAAAATTTACATTGGTGGGAGATTTCAAAATATCTTATTGACCACGTATAAATGTATCGTAAACTTAAAAGTATGTCTTTAATTGCCTTGCGAGGCGTTGTGACTTCCAGATTAAATTTAGAAAACCTTAAAGGGTGGACACTCTCATCAAATTTTATTGTTGGATTATGAGGGGTTTAAAAGGACACACTCTATCGATTAACTATTATAGATTTTAGTAGACCAGAAAAATGACTAAAGTTTGTTTGACCACAACTTCTTAATATTCTGCCCCTGTTTACTCAATGGGGCCAGTTTGAAGTTTTTTAAGCTTAGATTCAATCACTTGACAAAATGAAATTCAATGTTTATTATCTCACCATAAATAAAGAAAGCCAATGAAATGCAAAAGAGGAGGTGGATGGGGCTAATTTTACCTTTTTTGTTTAAATTTCACTATTTATCAATATAAAATCCACTTTTCGTCCAATAAAATGAATGATCAAGAAGAAAACAGGGTGGGTGGGTGGGGACACTTGGAGTTTTTTAAGTGTAGATTCGATCTTTTGACAAAATAAAATTCTATGATTATCATCTGACAGTAAAATAAAAAAATCCATTGAAATGCAAAAGAGGGGGTGGGTGTGGCTAATTTGATCTTTTTTGTTTAAATTTTACTATTTATTAATATAAAATTCACTTTTTGCCCAATTAAATTATGATCACGAAGAAAAGAGGGTGGGTGGGTGAGGCCACTTTCAGGTTTTTTAAGTGTAGATGGCTATTATGAAGTAGTATTAACTTCAAATAATACCTTGGTACATATAAAATTGTATGTCTTACTGTTTAGTTTTTGATATTTACGTACAAAGTTGTCTTTGTACGTTCTTTTAGGTAGTGGTTGTATTTACTTCAGAAGAACTAATTAATTTCCTCGGATTTGAACAACCAATTAACCATAAAAAGAAATTAATGTACTAATAAGTCACAAATGTAGATCCACACTACTTTATGCGCTTTCAATAGGATTTGTGTCTTTGTTTTTTTTTTGTTTACTCGATTTTTTTTTTGGTTCTGTTTTTCTTCGGTTTCTTGATTTTTGAAGTTTTGAATCTTTTAGATTTTTTTGGGTGTTATACTTTTGGATTTTATAGATTTTTTGAATGATTAAATTTCTTAAGTTTCTTGGGTTTTTTGGATTTCTTCGGTTTTTTGGATTTTTCAATTTTTGAAGCGTAGATTCGACTACTTGATAGAATGAAATTCAATGTTTATTATGTCAGGTAAATAAAAAAAGCTAATGAAATGCAAAAGAGGCGGTGGGTGGGGCTAATTTTACCTTTTTTCTTTAGACTCCATTATTTATTAATATAAAATCCACAATTTTGTTCAATAAAATGAATGATCACGAAGAAAACAGGGTGGGTCGTTGGGGCCATTTTGAAAAAACATTTTTGCAAAGTATTCAACTTGGATTGGTGCAGTGTAATACTAAAAATAACAGTATTTTATATTCATTAATTTTTTTGAGCCATTGTATAATCAAATTTAAAAAATATGAATGCAATTTACACCTTTAAATTTCACAAGAGTTTTTACAAGATTAATAGGGGCAAAATCAGTTTTATCTTAACAAATACTAAGCCCGCCCACCCGCCCCTATTTTTCCAAAGGATATGTCATTTGCCGAAATAAGTCTTTTCTCAGAGGGTAGTACTTGCTAAGATAAATCTTATTTTGGCAAATGACATATCCTCTAAGAAAACATGGGCGGGTGGGCGGGTGGGCGGGGCTAGCGTTTGCTCAGATCAGACTGATTTTGGCAAATGCCATACCCTGTGAGAAAATAGAGAGCGGGTGGGTGGGGCTAGTACTTGCAAAGGTAAGACTTATTTTGGCAAATGACATATTCTCTAAGAAAATAGAGGGGGGCGGGGGGAGGGGGGGTGCTAGTACCTGCTAAGATAAGATTGATTTTAGCAAATGACGTATCCTCTAAGAAATTGAATTAAATTATTATAAGGCAAGACACTAGAGGTTCCAAAGCACTGTCAAATTCTTTCCAAGGAGAATACCTAGAACCTCAAAATTAACTCAAAAACAGGTTAGGTCAGAATTTTCCAGAAATAGTCCCCCCAAATTGTTTTAAATAATTTACAAAAAAAATCTCCATGGGCTCCCAAAATAATACACCATGGGTACCCAAGAGTCTCCCGAATTAAAAAAAAAAACACTATGGCATTCGACTTTTTTAAATTCGTAAAAAGTAAAACATTAAAAGCTCAAAAGATTTTTTCAATTTCATCCAGCAATAAAACACCAGATTCCTTTAAATTTATCCAAAAATAAAATTAACTGCGAACATTTTAAACGTAGGGTTTTGAAAATTTTGATAATTTTTTATTTTGATTGTTACAAAAACAACATAACCATTTCTCCGTATATTCTAACTGAAACAGTAATTAAACATGGTCATGGACGAGAGAAATATTAACTAAACGGTCATCCGAACATCGGCTAGTTGAAAAAAAGACGCACGTGTTGTATTGAATTTTTTTAAATTTTTAAAAATATTTCAGTCGACGATTCTGGAAAAACGGTTGGAGTTATCGAAGAAATGAGGCCGGAAGTGACTTCTGCGGCCCGAAAACTACAGAAATGTATTTTGTTAAATTTCGAAAATCGTGGAGAATGGCTCGAAATTTAGATAAGGGTGGAAAATTTCATTTTATAAAAGTCGCGTAAATTTTTTAAAACTGCCATATTTCAGTGGGCGATTCTGGAAGAAATGAATGAAATCTACAAGACCATGTACATATTTACTTAAATTTCGAAAATCATAAAAAAGCTTTCTAAAAATTCTCAAAAAATCAGGGTTATACTCGTAGATCTAGAGGTGCTAATTCCAAAAATACCTATAGCGTGTAATATTTTTTTCGAATGTATCTATTACCCATTGTTGCTGAAGAATACGTTATTTTGGTTTAATAAAATTAAGGTTTATTTCATGAAGTTTGTTTTCCGCAATATATGAAATTGGTATTCAATTCCTTTTCAGATTTTTGGGAAATTCGCCGATCCGAACAAATCACTGATCCTAACACACCTTTTCCTCAATTAATTCTATTGCGATAATGAGTGCGTTGTTTAGTTAAACGTAGCAAAAGAGCCAACTCCACCAAAATGTGAGAAGGAATTTTTTTTTAGTATTTTTCTCAGACTCGCCAGTTGATTGTTAAAAGCGGAGCGGAGAGTTAATCCACCATTTTCCAGACACCCGGTATATGATGTTCTAATTATTAAAAAAGAAACTGGCTTGCATATAGTTAAAAATAATTTTGAAATATATGGTTTAAGGAGGTGTATAACTTTAATTTTTGTTTTTTTTTATATCTTTAATAATTATTAATGAATTATCGGGAAGCTCGCGCTTGGTGCTCGTCCTATATGTATATGGTGAATTTTTAGTGGATATTTCGAAAATATTCTTTCGTAATTAAATTTCAAGAATGTCAATTTTTCCAAATTAATATAAGCGTCCGAATTCGTTAAAAATCGGAAACATTTGCAAAACTATGTAAAAATATGCAAAGAGCTTAAATATGCAAACATTAATTGGGCGACGGTCGCTTTTAATTACCCCAATTTTTGCAGATTTTAAATAATTTGATTGTCGTCGAGAATAATCGATATGCAAATACAACAGTATGGTCTCTATTGATTAGATAAAGAGATATATGAACTCCAAACTCGTCTCCGATAGATTTGGAAGGGCTGTATGTCAATTGCAAGAAACACGCTACAGCATAATAGATTCAAAAGAGTGTTTCTTAGATTCATTTTAAGTCGCATTTCCGTGTGTTAAAAGAGAACATACGTAAAAGTTGTAAGTTTTGTCCTATTCTAAAAATGTCAAATTTGGTACTACCACAGTACTGACGTATGATTTTGTAAATTCATCACTCTCAGTCGGTATATATAAACTTGGTGGGCGTTTTCGTTTCACAGCTGACCTATGGTTTAGTTTTTCCCCACTTTACTTACTACTTCCACCGTATCTAGGGTTCGGGTCATATGACTTCCAGTTTTTTTGTATAAGCTTTCTCCATTTCCTCGAGTTCACTTCCTTCTAGCGATTTCCTCAAACGTTATTTTAGTTATTCCATTTCTGTTCTTCATTTATTATTACTTACTATTTCTTCGTTTATGTTGTTTCATTGTTTCCTATCTAAACACCTATTTTTGCTTGATTAGATGCTGTATTTGCTTAATGATTGTGCAATTGATTGTTTTTCCAATTTAAGCTATCACCGTACAAATACACTAAATCCACATGATTAGAACCCACCTGATTGTAAAAATGCTGTTAGCATTAAATAATAATTCTTTTATTTTCCACTTACCTTAATGATTTGACCTGAAACTGGTAAAGTTCATGTTATTATTGCAATTCATTTTTTACGAATTACCACGAATAATGACAAATAATTGCTGGAATTGCCAAGGCGGTATTATGTTTTTGTTTTTCGTTTAGCGTATAACTTATTGTTAACCTACTTTTAACTCTTAAGCAACGAATATATGCACATTTTTATTGCTTTTGTTGTAAATTGTAAATATGTGTCAACTAAATATACTGTAACACTAGACAAGTATATCTGTTTGTACTAGCTATTATGGCGTAAGTGCGACCTTTAAATACTTCGCCTGCACTTTAAGAGCATTATGCGCTTGAATTGTTAATCCCCAAACGTACCTCTCGTCATAATGATTCAGAATAACGCGTTTTACACTCTCGGATGAATAATAGGGGGATTAAAGTCGACACAGGAGGGATTCCTCGCTCTGGCTCGGCGTGTGTTGGTGTTAACCGTGCGAACCTGATATTAGGAAGTTTGTTAAGTCCTGCCATTGATTAAATACATATAGATAGACCCATGCTATTGTTTGGAGCGAACAGGCCAACGGCCGGCGAACAAGAGATGGCGCACCAACGGTCGGCCGTCAAACGCCGGCGAAAAGCTTGGACACCAATCACGCGCATAGGTAACACAAATCACACTAATAATATATTTAATAAATCTACCACTCGATAGAGGGCGACGAAAAAATGTGTAAAAATCTCATAGTTAGCATTTAAATAATTTGCAACGTTGCCAGATGAGCCTAACACAAATTTGCCGTTATTTCTAGCCAAGTAGGATTTATTTCGTTTAAAAGTTTCTGATAAAGAAATGGGATTATTATAATGAATAAAAATAAATAAAACAAACAAATTATTAAGTACTTGTTATTTTAAATACTTGTTAGTGCTAACATTATTATAAATACGGTCCGGTAACTCAAATTTTATAGAAAGAGTGAGATGTTTCAGGACGAGGCGACCGTAGGGAGCCGAGTTTTTAATTTCGAAACGAGTTCTGCGAAAAGAGTTATCGGAGGTATGTCGTTATGGATTTTATTTCATACTGTCAACATATTTTTTTTGTTCGATAAAATAATTACTATTTTGGAAAAAGTTCAAATCAAGTCACTTTTTCTGACATCGTTAGCAACCGCTGTTTGGCTAATGTTTTAATTTGTTTATTCGTGCAAATCAGCATCAAATGTTTAAACTAAAATTTATTAGTCTAGAGACGGACAGATATATACTAAAGACAAAACATATCCATTCATATATGTCTTAAAAAACGGGTAACATATGCCGCATAAACTAAAAAATAAGACATTTTCTTTCACATTTTATATTGTAAATGCAATTAAGTATATCGATAACTCGCTACTGAAAATTTATTGAAATATAATTTCTGCAAAAAAAAGATTGTTGTGGTTTTATGGTTTATTGACATAGTTTACTTATTTAAAATGAATATTTTTCATACATAGCACAAGTTCTTGATATTATTTATTTTAATTTCAAATAATAATTGTGTTTCCTTTAATTTTAACCAAGAAAATTTTTCGGTTATTATCCAACATACTTTTGTACATTAAGAAACTCCATTCCACGTCGCGGGACGTTACAGAACAATATTTAAGTAAATAAGCTTCTCCAAAAAGAAGTCGTTTTTATGTGTTTTAAAACTCACTCTTTTATCTCCGGACTTTCGGCTTTTTAGTGTTTCACTTCGACACAAGAATATAAACAGTGGAAAAATGGAACAGTTTTAAAAACTATTCATCTATTTGTTCTGTCTTGCAGCGAGAAAGGAATATAGCATATTGTACCCACATTTCATAGTAAAAATATGGATCCGGTTTAAAATTTTACCTACCTACTTAATTACGTTAACAAACTAAAATTTTCATTGAAGAGACAGGCTGTTCTAGGAAACTTTATTACAAATCTCTTCATTTACGAGCTGCTGAAGGACCGCCGGTCTCATTGATAATTCTTACCTACTTCAGTTCTTACCTGGCTTGTACTTAAGAATGAAGCGAAAAATGTTCCAACAATAAAAACCAAAATGTACAGACTGGAAATATAGTAAATGGGGTAGTACCTACATACAAACGTATGCGTAATAGTTCGTTAGACATTAGGTATTTATCAAAATTAACCAAATCTCTTAGTTTACACACTATTGGACGAGCACTCCTTAAAACGGTCAGAATACTTAATCGCATTATTCCATTCACACCTACCTTAAACTTTGCCAGATGAACCTAACACAAATTTGCGGATATTTCTCGTCAACCTGGTAATATTTGATTTTGAAGTTTCTAGAAGTATCTCAATGGGAATATTATAATGGACAAATAAAACAAACAAATTATTGTTATTATTATTTGTTGTTTTAATCCATTAGACGCTTATAGGCTATCGCATACTTTTCTTGAAAAATCGGTAATAAATTCAGTGAAGCATCTTTGCCCCTTAATTCCTATGGGTAAATTGGGATTTTGAATAGAGATCGCAGAAACATTTTTTATGGTTTTATGGTTTATTTACATAATTTACTTATTTACAATGAATGTTTTTAATATATAATACAAGTTCTTGATATTATTTATTTTTATTACAATTAATAATCTTGTGTTATTTTTCATTTTCAACAAGAAAATTTTGTCGCTTATTATCTAACATATTTTTATACAATGAGAAACACCATATGTTTCACATCACAGGACGTTGCAGGAAAATACTTAAGTAAATAAGCTTTTGTTATTTCACTTCGACGCAAGAACCGTTTCAAAGAAAACAAACAGTGAAAAAGCGGAACAGATTCACAAAGTTTTCTGTTCTTTTTTTCTTCGGTTTTGCAGTGGGTGGGAAATATGGTGTATTGTACATTTTACAATAAAAATATCGATTTCAGGCAAATTTCCGCACCACCAATGAGGTATTGCCACGGCGCGTTTTTTTTTTTTGTTTTAGCAGTGCTATCCCCAATAGGCCTAATGCACTACTTGCCGATATTGATTCAGATAATTATCCGCTGAATTAAGACATGATACTGGAAAACTGACACAAATAAACCACTCAATTTACAAAAACTGCAGCTTAAAATATCCTGATTTTTTTTTATTTAAACTCAATTCATTGTGTCAGATTTGGATAAATGACGGTCAGTGTAAAGAGCATAAAGTATTTATATTAAATCATCTAATTATATGCAAATTATTTAAAAAAGGAAAATGGCATCAAAATAAAAAAAAAATTGTCGAGTATCCAAATTTGGTGTTTTTGATTCAAAGAAGCTGGTTTGAATTGAGTTTAAATGTAAAAAAATCAGGATATTTTAAGCTGCAGTTTTTGTAAATTGAGTGGTTTATTTGTGTCAGTTTTCCAGTATCATGTCTTAATTCAGTAGTGCAAGTAGTGCATTAGGCCTATTGGGGATAGCACTGCTAAAACAAAAAAAAAAACGCGCCGTGGCAATACCTCATTGGTGGTGCGGAAATTTGCCTGAAATCGATATTTTTATTGTAAAATGTACAATACACCATATTTCCCACCCACTGCAAAACCGAAGAAAAAAAGAACAGAAAACTTTGTGAATCTGTTCCGCTTTTTCACTGTTTGTTTTCTTTGAAACGGTTCTTGCGTCGAAGTGAAATAACAAAAGCTTATTTACTTAAGTATTTTCCTGCAACGTCCTGTGATGTGAAACATATGGTGTTTCTCATTGTATAAAAATATGTTAGATAATAAGCGACAAAATTTTCTTGTTGAAAATGAAAAATAACACAAGATTATTAATTGTAATAAAAATAAATAATATCAAGAACTTGTATTATATATTAAAAACATTCATTGTAAATAAGTAAATTATGTAAATAAACCATAAAACCATAAAAAATGTTTCTGCGATCTCTATTCAAAATCCCAATTTACCCATAGGAATTAAGGGGCAAAGATGCTTCACTGAATTTATTACCGATTTTTCAAGAAAAGTATGCGATAGCCTATAAGCGTCTAATGGATTAAAACAACAAATAATAATAACAATAATTTGTTTGTTTTATTTGTCCATTATAATATTCCCATTGAGATACTTCTAGAAACTTCAAAATCAAATATTACCAGGTTGACGAGAAATATCCGCAAATTTGTGTTAGGTTCATCTGGCAAAGTTTAAGGTAGGTGTGAATGGAATAATGCGATTAAGTATTCTGACCGTTTTAAGGAGTGCTCGTCCAATAGTGCGTAAACTAAGAGATTTGGTTAATTTTGATAAATACCTAATGTCTAACGAACTATTACGCATACGTTTGTATGTAGGTACTACCCCATTTACTATATTTCCAGTCTGTACATTTTGGTTTTTATTGTTGGAACATTTTTCGCTTCATTCTTAAGTACAAGCCAGGTAAGAACTGAAGTAGGTAAGAATTATCAATGAGACCGGCGGTCCTTCAGCAGCTCGTAAATGAAGAGATTTGTAATAAAGTTTCCTAGAACAGCCTGTCTCTTCAATGAAAATTTTAGTTTGTTAACGTAATTAAGTAGGTAGGTAAAATTTTAAACCGGATCCATATTTTTACTATGAAATGTGGGTACAATATGCTATATTCCTTTCTCGCTGCAAGACAGAACAAATAGATGAATAGTTTTTAAAACTGTTCCATTTTTCCACTGTTTATATTCTTGTGTCGAAGTGAAACACTAAAAAGCCGAAAGTCCGGAGATAAAAGAGTGAGTTTTAAAACACATAAAAACGACTTCTTTTTGGAGAAGCTTATTTACTTAAATATTGTTCTGTAACGTCCCGCGACGTGGAATGGAGTTTCTTAATGTACAAAAGTATGTTGGATAATAACCGAAAAATTTTCTTGGTTAAAATTAAAGGAAACACAATTATTATTTGAAATTAAAATAAATAATATCAAGAACTTGTGCTATGTATGAAAAATATTCATTTTAAATAAGTAAACTATGTCAATAAACCATAAAACCACAACAATCTTTTTTTTGCAGAAATTATATTTCAATAAATTTTCAGTAGCGAGTTATCGATATACTTAATTGCATTTACAATATAAAATGTGAAAGAAAATGTCTTATTTTTTAGTTTATGCGGCATATGTTACCCGTTTTTTAAGACATATATGAATGGATATGTTTTGTCTTTAGTATATATCTGTCCGTCTCTAGACTAATAAATTTTAGTTTAA